GTGTTTTGTATGTATGTGATAGTTAAGTATAGTGCGCAAGATGCACTTGTGTGATCTAATGGGTGGGTGTGTAGTAGATGCTTATGTGTGGCATGTTTATGCATGAAAGGAGCTCATATATAATATATATGTATAAACATATGTGTGTGTTTAAGAGTGTGACTATGCTATTACATATGCATGTGGAACATATATATGTAAGACATGTGAACATTTGATGTGTGCTATACATTAATAAGCTCTGGGTTTATGTAGTATGAGTTTGATGCACCTATGTGTGGGTTTCATGTGTATGTTGATGTGTATGCTTGAGTGGTATGTGGCTGTTATGTATATTATCACACGTGATTTGCCCACCTTGCATGCCATATACACATAGACCCTGCACTCACCAAGAACAAACAGGTATACCATGCATACATAAATGTGCACCACCAATAAATATGGACACCGCAAATACAGGCAATGATATATAGGAATGCACACATGCTATCTGGGATCCCGCCTCACCAGGAAACACATGCAAGGACTTTACTTGCCTCCCCCCTAATCTCTGCTCTCATGCCATACACAGATGCATCATCCCACCACCTCCACTGTGGCATCAGTGAAGGCTTTGAACCCCAGAAGAGAGGTGCATAGGCATAGAGGATGTAAGCAGCATACCTGAGGTACAACTGAGGGGAACCTACCTTGCTCCAGAGGAAAAAGTTCCTCCTGCATGTGGGCTCCGTGCCCAGCATCTCCCTGAAAGTAGTCTCTAAAATCCTCAATGAGAACAGATGTCACAGGGCCAAACTGGCTGGGGAATGGGGAAGCCCCGCAGGCTGGAGCCAAGTCAATCCTAACAGTTCCCTAAATGGCACCCTAATTCTGATTCTAACCAGTCCTAAGCTAAACAACCTCAGCACTAACTCCCACACCAACCCTAACTCTAGCCTTAACCCCAAGCCAACATTAACACCAATCCTAGTGTAACCCAGACCTCCAATCATAACTCGAACACTAACCCAACCCTGAATCCAACCTAAAATCAAACTGTAACCCAACCACAACCCCATTCCTAGCTCAATGCCAATACTAGTTCACCCAAACCACAACCCCAATCCAATCCAAACTCTAGTCATAACTCTAACCCAACCCTAACCCTAACCCTAGGCCAACCCCAAACCCTACTCCAAATCAAACCCTCTACCAACTCTAACTCTATCCTAGTCTGACCCCAATCTCAGCTAGACCCCATCTCCACTGTCACCCCAAACCCTAATCTTGGTTAGGACACATCCCAGCTGACACGTTCCCTAGGAAATCTTAAATCGCCAGATGGACTGAGCTACTTCTCCACTCTCCTGGTTCCCCCTTTGACACCAGGCACATAATATTTAATTTTTTCTGCATATGTGACTTACTATTTAAGTTTACAACTTCATAATTAGCTAGTGTCAGTGCTTTCCTATGGCTGCTGGAGGCAGAATCTGTGGCTCTTTCCCCTGGCGTCTCTGGGGCCACAGTGGCTCTCAGTTTTACATTTTTGATAGATGAACAAATTGAATTTGAGCATTAGAAACTTTGAAATCCCACACTACAGCCGAAACACATTTGGGTCCCTCCAGAAGGAAGAAGTTACACTGGCCTTCTCAGTACTTCTCTGGGGCCACAGTGGCTCTCAGTTTTACATTTTTGATAGATGAACAAATTTAATTTGAGCATTAGAAACTTTGAAATCCCACACTACAGCCGAAACACATCTGGGTCCCTCCGGAAGGAAGAAGTTACACTGGCCTTCTCAGGATCTGCCACATCTTCCCGTGAGGAAGGAGCATAGCCCCCACCCGGTTGTGCCTCCTGCGGGGATTTCCATGTGGCTTTGGGGAAAGGGGTAGGTTGGTGCTAGGAAGGGAGGGAAGGGTCCAGGGACAATAGGGATGGGCTGTCCTTGGCAGTTCATGGTTTTCTCACTGTCAGGCTGTGGCTCTCATGTCTAGACCACATGGAGGGTGATACATCTGTGGAAGTTGCTGGTCTATGCCATGGCTATGGCATGCAGAGTACAGGGACAAGGACCACAGTCATGGGTTCATGGGGCTCTAGGGTTTAGCTATGATCCCTGCAGAACAGAGTAGGCTGTGGGGAACACCACTTCCCAGGGTGGAGACGGCTGGTGGGTGAGGCTTGAGTTGGTGTTCACAGGCTGAAAGTTTGTATGTACAAACAGGACCATAGCCATGAACATCATGGATGTAACACTGCTGTGTCCATGAACTCAGCTGGCATCCCAGGTCCATTTCCATAGAAACACACAAGGCCTCAGGTAGGTTTTCTGGTTGATATGGCAAGCTGAGTGGTGAGTGAGGCTCTCACAGGGGAGGGAGGCATCAGGGCAGAAAGGCAGAAGCTATGTGAGGACCAGCTTGCCCCACAGGCTCTGGGTGTTCTTTGTCCCCTTTTCTCCCTTCCAAGCACATGAGGGGACAAGGATGGCAGTGTAAGCGGGGGCAGTTGACACTCCTAATCTGGGGAGGGATCTGGCCAGTAAAGGAGACCTGGGGGACATCCATAGCACCTACTGTATTTGATGCCTCAGACCATGTCTGTGCCCTCCAGATTTATATACTGGCATCTTAGCCTTCAGTGTCTTGGTACATGGAAGGGGGGCCTGTGAAAGACTGTTAAGTCTGAGGGTGAAGCCCTCATTATTGTGATTTGTGCCCTAACAAGAACCTTAAATGCTTACTTGGTTCTCTGCCACGTGAGGACACAAGGTAGGTGTCTGAGACCGAGAAGTAGGCCTCACCGGCACCTTGACCTTGGACTTCCTAGCCTCCAGAGCTGTGAACAACAGGTGTCTGTTGGTGGTAAATTCTAATCTATGGTATTCTGCTACAGTGGCCCAAATGGAAGAAGACAGTTGGCGTCCACGCCATAATGCTGAAATCAGCCTTTTGACTTTCCACTGGTCCACTGGCTCTGTTGTCATTTTCTGGAGCCAGAGATCTCTAAAAAGGCACCCCAAGCAGCTAAGAGGTCAGTTTAGGTATGTGGATGCTTACAAATGACCCCAAGAGCCTCCACAACAACAAAGGATGGGACACCACCTCACAGAACGCGGTAGCCTTGAGCTCTGTTGATTTGGGATGGTGGATCCTGTGATGTCACCTCTTCCTATGTGAAAGCAAGAGTTGAATGTTCAACCGCTGAAGCTCTCGCCATGGTGCTGACAAGCTCCACATGGAATCATAGCTGTATGAAATATTTATGCTCCATGTTGCAGAGCTGTGCCAACATGACCGTGTGGTGGTTTTATTTCTTTGGGGTTTTCTTTTCTTTCTTTCTAATGGCTATGAGGCATTCTTCAGAGAGGAAATGGGAGCTCGGAGAGCCTGTGCCTCCTTCCAGCCATCATCTGGAGAAAGGATGCTTGGGTTGGTATTCACAGGCTGAAAGTTTGTATGTACAAACAGGACCACAGCCATGAACAGCTTGGCTCTGAGTCTATGTAACATGGGGCTGCTATGCCTAGAGCACATCTCAAAAGAGCTATTTCAAACATTGCAAAACAAAACCAAAAGCTGTGTCACAGGGCACGACAGATCAGTCTCCCAACCCCTCCCTCACAAGCCATTTGTTATTTCTCAAGACAGAGTTAAAGTAGTGATGTAATTATTACTTTTGTAGAATGTCATCACCTAATAGCTGCTGGGGAGTGTGGTTTGAGGAGTCCCTGGACTAGGATGCTCCCTGAGGTAAGCCTGCTCTTCACGGTGGGAGCCTGTGGCTCTGCCCCATTATTATTTCCCCCTCAGATGTTATATTAGTTTCTACATTGTGTAATATGCTCAATTTCATACCAACATCATTTTGTTTTTCTTTGTTCTTACGTAGTACTGGGAATGGAACCCAGGGTGTCAGGTATGTGAGGCAGAAGCTCTACCACTGAGATGTATCCCCAACCCCATAGTGAAGCCTTACAGTCTGATTGTGCATATAAAAATGCCAGTCTTTTCTAGAATGTACTTCTATTTGGGAGTACTCTCTGGAACTGGGGATTTCGTCAACATTTTTCAGTGTCTGAGGGGCCAGTCTCACCTGGAAGGCCTGATGTTGAAGCTCCTGTGTGCACTAGTATTCTTGGGTGTGATTTTTCTACACATTCAACATAGATTTACTGCACACTTATTATGGACCATGAGTTTTATGTCTCCCTTCTGCCCATGGTACATACACAGAGGTCACCCATACACAGACCCACATGCTAATAAGTGTCAGACAGGACTCTGACTCAAGTCTGTCCTCATAAGGAGCTCTGACCTGGCAAAGCCATCAACAAATGCCACATCAGGAGGCCCGGCCAGCTTATATGCTGAACCAATCACCATATCCTTGGAATGAAATCAACTTGGCTGTGGTGTATGACCTTCTTAATATGTTTTTAAAGATTTATTTGTTTTATATGTATGTGTATGTACCTGAGTGTATTATGCTCACCACATACACACAGGTGCCCAGGAACGCCAGAAGAGGGCACCAGATCCCCTGGAACTGGCAGTTGTGAGTTGACACAGGTAAATGCTGGGAATGAAATCTGGGTCCTTTGTAAGAGCAGCAAGTGTTCTTAACTGCTGAGCTGAGCCATTTCTCCAGCTTCATTAATGTGTTCTTACACTTTAAATTATTTTCCTTACAATTGTGTGGGGCCGGGGGCGGGAGGCGGTTATGGTGGTCAGGCGACAACTTGTAGGAGTCAGTTCTCTCCTACCATGTGCATCCCAGGGCTCAAACTCAGGTTGTCAGGCTTGGCAGCAAGCACCTTTTATCCACTGAGCCATCTCACCAGCCCTTAATGCATTCTTGAATTTAATTTGCAGGAATTTTGTCACAATTTTTGCATTTAGGTTCATCAGGGAAACGGGTGAATGGCTTTCTCTGCCTCATCCTTATCTGGTTTGGGAATCATGGTTATCAGGTCTGGCTTACGAAGTGCAGGAGACACAGACTTTTGCCACTTTTTAGAAGTTTTATTATAAAGAGGTCTGAGAGAAGCACTGGGCACCAGGACAGACATTGCTAGGGCCAGGAAACAGCTGCAAACAACGACAAGAACCAAAGCCCAAATCAAACCCAAACCCCAAACCGCACACGTTAGGATAAACCGCAACTTTGTTTTAAACTTTTCTCCATAAATAGATGACAAAAATCACCCTTGGCAATTTTAAATAGGTGGACATATGGTTTAAAAAAAAAAAAAACATCAAAAAACAAAGAAAAGTGTTCCCGGGTGTGGCTTCCAAGTGTCCCCTTCTGACTGTGTGGATCAGAATCAGCTTGAGAACTGCTTATGCATACATCTCCCTTAAGATAAAACTTTAAAAAAAACCCACGGGGTAAAGGTCATATAAAATGCTTCTTACCTTAAAGGAAACTACTTTCTTTCTCCCCACAAAATACTCTTACAGATGTCTTCAGCACGGTTCTAAAACAGTGAACTATTCACACCAAGCCCACAGCGTGCGGATTTCAGCATCTTTTGTACACACTGAGAAACCATATTTGCACACTTGTGGTTGGCCCAGCATGGGGTGGGTGTCTGTTGCTAAGCAACCCCACCATGAGCTTGGGCTAGGGCCAGATGTCCAGAAGTAGGGGACTGTGTGCAGGGCAAGGAGCGGGGTCCACAGCTACCCTGGAGCAAGCAGGTCAGCGGGCGGAAGTTTCCTGCAGGTTCTTTGGGCTGGCGGCGGGTGGTGGGCTGCCTCTGCAGAGTCTGGTAGAAGGTCGAGGGAGAGACTCAGCCCTGGGGCACTGGTGTGTCACTGCTCTTGCTGGTCGGTCACCCTGCCTGCTGCCATGGCCTCTCTCCTGTGGTCAGCCCTTCGGGCTCCGAGCAGTGCCCTCCGGAGAGCCTCAGGGAGGGACAGGTGGTGGGATTAGGTGAGGTAGAGCGATTTATCCCTGGGGAGCAGGCTGCAGGAGAGAGCAGGGGCTGTCAGCTACTGGAGCCCACCCTGGTGCCTTGGGGCCCTGGGTTCTGGCTCTGTGTCCCTCATGCTTATCAGCTGTCCCTTTAAGGTTGAAAGAGGAACTGTTCACCACGCAGAATCAAACACCCCTCCTGGCATCCCAGTGGGGATCATCTAGTTCTTGACCCTGGTGGGGAGAATGGCAGCGCTTATCCTGCGATGAGGCCCATTTGTTCCACACTTGGTTAGTTTGATTCGTTTGTTGCTGTTGTTTCTTTTTAAATATATTTTATTAATTATAACTTATTTTACATGTATGAGTATTTAGTCTGCATGTATGTAAATGGACCCATGTCATGCAATGCCCTTGGAGGTCAGAAGTGGGTGTCAAATTCCCCTGGAACTGGAGTCACAAACAGTTGCTAGCCACCATGTGGGTGCTGAGAATCAAACCTGCATCCTCTGCAAGAATAGCCAGTGCTCTTAACTGCTGAATTATCTCTCCAGTCCCAGTTTGTTTCTTGAGACAAGATCTTATATATTCTGGACTGGCCTTGAACTTGCTGTATAGTCAAGGATGACCTAGAACTTTTGAGCCTCAGGCTTCTACCTCTACTTTCCATCCCAAGTGCTGGGATTTACAGGTGTGCACCACCACACCAGGTTTATGTGGCGCTCAAACCCAGGGCTTCATGTATTCTAGTAAGCACTCTATTCACTGAGCTATGGACATCCCTAGCCTCTCTCTCATGTCTGTTTTTAATCACCGTGTTTTTGTTTGTACGTTTCAAACAGAATTACAGGATGCCAGCACCTTTCTGTCTTTGGAATACAGCATAGGACTGGCTAGCCAGGCATGTTGGAACATGCCTGTAATCCTAGCACTTGGGAGACTGAGGCAAGAGGATCATGAATTCAAAGTCAGCTTGGGGCTACATAGAGAGACCCCGCCTTAGAAACAATAAAATCTGGAATAGGTTGTTGTTATCAGGCAGTCTCACTGGGGGTGAAGGGCCAGCCTTAGGAAGCTCAGTCACAGAGTGCCAACTCCTCCCTGGTCCTTGACTGGGGAAGGAAACTGTGTGGAGGGGAAAGGCTGGATGAGTCTGTCCCTGCTTAGGCTACAGAGAAGGGAATCCCTGTCCACCTGAGTCTGTGCACCTATAAAGGTGCTCCCCAAGAAGTTCAGAAATGGGAGCATGAGGAGGGTTCATGCGGTGCCACAAGCATGAGTAGGGCTGGGCAAAGTGAGGTGCCTAAGCTGGAAGGCTGCAGTGGCCAGGGATGGGAGTCAACAGCTGCCTGGTGATAGAGATGGCCCCCATCCTCTAAAGTTCCCTACTCTTCACCTACAAAAGGCCTGGGTATCAGGTCCATTGAGTCCTTCTGGGGCTTCGCTTTTTTCTGTGCCGTCCCCTGTACTCTACATCTCCACAGGTTGGGCTGACAATGGCTATCCCACATTCCTGAGTATCTCCCTACCCTTCTGGCCAGCCCTGCTTCACAACCCGTGACCAGACACTGGAAGGAGGCTGGTAAAGACTGACCTGCAGGTGCTTATGCCTCGCTCCCCACTGGGGAAACTCCCGTCCCAGTCCCCACTGCTGGGAGTGTTGGATGGGCCAGGTGAGCGGGAGCTGGAGCCACTGGAGAAATCAGAGATGTGTGGGAAATCCTACAGGGGAAGGAGAGAACAGTGAGCAGAGGTGAGAGAGGAAGGGAGCCTTATCTCTGGCAGCTAGGGTGGAGTGGTCTCCGTGTGTCTACACTTCAGAGTCACTTTCTCAGGGTCACACAATATCCACTCTGCCTCCTCCTCCTTTTTCCTAGTGGAGTGTCTTTGGGAAAATTCAATCTGAGCTGACTGTGTGGCTCAGTGACAGTTCATTTGCCTAGTGTGTGTGAGGCCCCAGGGGTCTATCCTCAGTATAACAAAGGAGAAAAGAGTGAAAAAGGAAATTCAACTCCTATCTTAGCTGTGTCAGGGGTTAGCTTTGCTTTAGAGGTCTTCCCTCTTCTGGGCCTCAGTTTCTCAATTTGTAAAATGGAGATACTAAGCTACATAGGTACATTGGAACTGTCTGTGGAACCATCAGTTGGAGTTAGTACTCCAAGGCTTTGGGGAGAACCAGGAGCTGGTGCAATTGGGCAGTCATCTTAGCACACTGGGCCAGGAAGATGAAAAGGTTCTAGAACATCCGGAGAATCTACCTGGCAATTTGTCAACTGCCTGGGCCAACCAGTGCCTATCAAGTCGGGTGTTCTAGACCCATTTCAGAGATGTGGAAATTGAAGCTTAGAGGGGGACAGTGCTGCAGCTGAAGTTACACAGCTGGCAAGCGGCAGGATCAGTAGCCAAACTTCCCCAGCAGCCTCCCCTGTCCACAAGAGCCACAGAAGGCTCTGCCGTGCTTACCTGTGGCCCTGGAGGTGAGGGGCTCATCGCCAGCTGCACCTGGAGTGCCATGGGGGCAGCCAGGACAGGAGGCTGGGGGGCTGGCGACATGCTGAGGGGTGGGCTGAGGAGGGCGCCCTGCGCGTGGGGGGGCAGTGGCAGCTGCTGGTGCAGTGAGGGGCTGAGCGGGAAGGAAGGTGGTGGTGGGGACGTGCTGAGGCCTGGCAGCAGTGCTTTGGAGCCCAGTGTCCTGGCGAGGCTGGCAGGAGAGGCCCCGCTGCGGAAGGCCTGCAGGTCGGAGGGCGTCAGGAAGGAAGCCAGGCCGGGCATGGCATACATGGGCTGCTTGGGTGGAAGCATTTTGGCTGGTGGGTTCACCTGAGCACTCTTGGCCTCACCTTGGTCCGGGGGGCTCTGGAAGGAGATGAAAGGCAGGGATAAACCAGAGCCTGGGTTGTAAGAGCAGGTATAGCTTGTACGGTCTCTGGGTGGCTCTTCCTGCTAAGGGGCAGGATGTGAACCAACCAGCCATAACTATGCAGGGGCATTGGAACATTTAGCTTTGCTTAGCCACACAGGCCCATCTTTATCCTCATGTGGCCTCACGCTTCTTGCTGGAAGGAGATGAAAGGCAGGGATAAACCAGAGCCTGGGTTGTAAGAGCAGGTATAGCTTGTACGGTCTCTGGGTGGCTCTTCCTGCTAAGGGGCAGGATGTGAACCAACCAGCCATAACTATGCAGGGGCATTGGAACATTTAGCTTTGTTTAGCCACACAGGCCCATCTTTATCCTCATGTGGCCTCACGCTTCTTGCCCCTGGCAGTGCAGCCAAGCCTAGCAATGAGCCAGGCTGCTTACACCCCTCCCAGCCTCTCCCTTCTGCTCATTCAGTTCCCTCTACTGTGAGCACCCATCTGCTTGGCCTTTCATAGCCCAACCCAGGTATCATCTCCTCTGCCAGCCTCTAGGACAACACTTCACCTCTCTCTCTGGGCCATAGGCACCTCTCTGCTGCCCACCAGTGTGGACAGAGGGCAGAAGTTGTGGTCAGGAACAAAGACTGGCAAAGCTGGGTTTGAACCTAGAACAGCCACTCAAATGGCCAATTCCTGGCACATTGCCGAGGCCCTCTGAGCACTAGGTTCTTGCTGGAAGAATCCAATGAACTGAGATACACAAAAGGCCTGCCGCAAGGGCCTCGTACACTGGAGGTGTTGGTAGAAGTGACCTACAAGTGTCTCCCATCCTCTCCAAAGTCTGGTGCTGGCCATTCCCATGGGCCTCAGCTCTTTCTCCATCCCTCCTCCAGTGGTCCACTGTCTTCAGGGCATTACTAGGGATTCTGTTACCTTAGAGACGAGGCTAGCTCTGTAGGCTGCCAAGGCTTTCAGGTACTCCTTCTTGGCCGCTTCGGTCTTCCTTTTATAGGCCTGAAAGATCCGAGACATGGGCAACTCTGGGAAGAACGTCACAGAGGAGTCACAGTGCAGAGGCTGGGATGACAAGCAGGGGTTCCAGGACCATATGCAGCCAAAAGTGGTGGTGCTGGAAGCTGGGTCCGTCACTCACTGGCCTCTCTCTTTTGGGAGTGTGTAGGGCAGGCTACACCCCAGTTTCTCAGCCATGCTTCTGGGTACTTTACCTCTCTGGGCCTCCAGACTACTTGTGTAGACACAAGTGAATACAGAGCGACAAGTCCCCTGGGGGCCCTTCTTCCAGCCCAGCTGTGCCAACTTCTTTTTTTTTTAAGTTTTATTTATTATTTTTATTTTATGTGTATAAGTGTATTGCCTGCACATATGTAAGTGTACCTGTGTTGTGCAATGTCCACAGAGGTCAGAAAAGGGTGTTGAATCCCTTGAAACTGGAGTTATGAATGGTCGTTATCTACCTTGTGGGTGCTAGGAATCGAACCTGGTTCCTCTGCAAGGGCAATCAGTGCTCTTAACCCCTGAGCCATCTCTCCAGTCCATGTGCGGACTTCTTGATGTTGGACTGTCTTTGCATTCTGCATGATTCCTATTTGTTCTGAGTATCTTAGTCTGAATTCATATTGCTAATATTGCCATTATTAACATGTTACTTACATGTTACTGTAGGAACAGCCCCAGTCTGTTCACATTCCCTCTGTCCATGCCGTTTAAGTAGTGCTTTCCCATAATGACTTGGTGCTCAGCCTTGGACTTTCTTTGGTCAATGAGTTAAGAACAAATGTAATGAACAGAGTCTTGAGAAATGCTTAGACTTTGGAATGGCTGCTTCTTTCTCTAGAAACTCTGAGCTGCTCTGTGAACTAGCCTGGCTAGCCTCTTGGGCTATGAGACACACATGACCTGGGGTGCCCCAATGCTCTAGCTGATCACCACATGCCTTCTAGAAGAAGAGCTGCCAAGTGTGTTGCAGTTGAATGCAGGATCACGGACAGCTCCCACCAAGTGTTGCAGGTGAACCACCCAGCTGAGCCCAGCACAACCCATGGGCACGCTGAACTAAAGTGGGACTAGATGGCTGTTGCTTTAAGCCGTTGAGCTTTTGGACTGTCCACTATTTATTCAAAGCTAAGCTTCATTACACTTTTGTGTCTGGGTTGTGCTGCATATACGGACTTCTTAAAGTTCTAGTTCTGATGACTTGGAAAAACTTTTCCATCAACCAAGTAGGCTCAGAATGTTTTTAGGTGAAGTAGGCTTTTAAGCACTTGTTTCCTATAATTTCCTCCAACCAGCTCCTTTGCTTATTATTATATCATTAGTAAAACAGGAATGCAAATAAAATTTCCTAATATGATTTTTAAAATGGATGCCAGCTAAAAGTCAGCCTTATACCAAATAGTGAAACCTAGGAAGCAATGCAAAGACCACTGTCCCCACCATTAGCATCACCACTGTTCTCATTCTCCGACAGGGTGTCCTATGTAGTCCAGGCTGGCTCAAACTCACTATGCATCCTGGGCTAGCCTCAAGCTTGAGATCCTGCTGCTTCTAACTACATGATGTACCACCATGCCCGGCTTTTCCCACCATTAGTTAATGTCTTTTTCAATAATAGTTACTGTGACTGGGAAAAGGGGGAAAAAGAATTATAAGAATGGGAAACGAAGAGACATGGCGCACACCTTTAATCCCAGCACTTGGGAGGCAGAGGCAGGCGGAGCTCTGTGAGTTCAAGGCCAGCCTGGTCCATATACCACATAGTGAGTTCCAGGACAGCTGGGGCTACAGGGAGACCCTGTCTCAAAAACACCAAAAAAAAAAAAAAAAAGAAAACTAAGATAATATTATTATCATCTTCACTGTGGAATATACAATATACATGTATAAATTCATAAATACATATGTATGTACATGTTCTTTTTTTAAAATTTTTTTATTTTATGTGTATGCATGTATTGCTTGCATGTAGGTAAGTGCACCTGTGTCGTGCAATGCCCACGGAGGACAGAAGAGGCTGTCAGATCCTCTGGAACTGGAGTTACAGACAGTTGTTAGCTGCCATGTGGGTGCTGGGCTTCAAACCCGGGTCTTCTGCAAGAACAGTCAGTGTTCTTAATCGCTGAGCCATCTCTCCAGCCCCATATATGTTCTTCTTAACCCAAACACCAGGGAACTATTTGAAAACTGACTAGAAATTATAACTTAGCTAGATAGTTATAGCTATCTATAACTATATAGATAGTAGTTACAAAATAAATTCTTAACTTTTAAAATTAAATTAATTTTTTAAAATTCAGGGTCTCGTGTATCCCTAACTAGCGTAAGACTCTGCCTGCCTCTACTTCCAGAAAGTTCTTAACTTTTTACTGTATCAACAACAAGATGCTAGAAAAGTGGGGAAGGCATGTTATTTGTGATGCATTAGGAGAGATATATCAAGATTTTAGAGGGAAATAATAAAAAAAAAAACAGTAACAGAAAAGTCAACAGAAGTAAATTTTGAAAATTCAGAAATAGGGTTGGGATGGGGCTTGGTGGTAGAGCACTTGACTAGCATGTTCAGGGTTCTGAATTTAATTCCCATCATTCCCCCCAAATCAGAAATAGCATGGATGCAGGAGGTCAGATCTCAGTGACCTTCCCTTGCTCCTGACTATGCTGGATGACGTCACAGCCGGCATCTGTGGGAAGGGCCTCCAGGGACACAGCACCTGGAGTCACCAGCCCCAGAGACGGTGCTCAAAGGGAGGGGATGTTTCACCCTGAAGCATGCATGAAGGAAAGGGGTCTTCCGAAAGGGAGCACATGCCAAGAAAACAACAGGAAAGAACCACAGGTCTAGAGCGGAAGTTGGCGGCATCCTGCCAGCCCTTCTGGCCTTTCCCACCACAGTGCGAGCACAAGTAGCCTCCAGGGCCAACAGGTACGTAGTCTGACCAGAAATGCAGGAGGATTACCTTCCCCTGGAGCAGCTCTCAATCAGTGGCTGACAGAGCTGGGGTCCACTCTGTGGTGCAGCTCAGGTGGCGGGGGTCGATGCTGGCTCTGGAGCGCCCGCTAGCCACAGTGGGAATTCTCTGGCAGTGGACTCCGGTTATCTACTCTCTCTCCCTGCCTCATCTCTCTACTCCCTTCCAGCCGCTCTTAGGCCACCTCCCAAATAAACTACAGACTCTGGACTATTCCGCAAATGCCTTACATTGTCAAGTAGGATAACGGATGCACTTCAGTAAAACCAGTGATTCGTGTCTCTGTCCCCAGACTGCTACTATCCTGTGTGTCCCATTCCAGTAAATGGCATTTCCGGAATCTCCTGCTTACAGAGGACCTGGTCTACTCCACCTGCCGGCGTGCAGCAGGACTGGATTCCTCTGCTTCCCCAGCAATGTCCCCACTCCTGTGCAGGCCTGCAAAGCCCTGCCTGCCTCTCCAGCTCCATCACTGCCACGTGAGTCCTCATCACCTCCATTCGGCCACTCTAGGCTCCTAGTACCATGTACATCCCGGTTCTTTCCTTCTCTGGCTTTTGTCAGCATGGTGCCCCCACCCCAAGTCCCCCCTCCTCCATGGAGCTAACCCTCCAGTCTCACCTGGAGACCTGATATCCACTCCAGGGTTGTGTCCTTTCTCCCTCTTTTTGCTTCCATGCACACTCCCGACCCACAACATTGCACCACTAGGATTTTACACTTATTGTCTGCTTATTGGGTTACTATCTGTTATGCCAACGGCCCAGTTGACCTTCCTGGTTCTACAGCCTGATCAAGTCCTGATGCCAGCCTCACTCTCAGTGCTGACCTTGAGCAAGGCCCTTAGCCTCTTGCTGTCTCCACCTCTTCCTATCAAAATAGGCTAGTGTGGATGGAGACTCCCTAGGGTCTTGGAAGGATGCAGTGAGGTCATGGAAGGAGCCTCTCCGCCCTCCACCATGTGCTCAGCCAAGACATGCTCTGAGGCTGGTAGTCAGTAGATAGGGAAGCCAAGGCTCAAAGAAATGAGGTACTCCTGAGAGATGCATTTGCAACTACGTGAGCCCCCCTCCCCAACCCCATCTCATCCCCCTGGAGGCCTTCAGAGAAGCTGGCCACAGGGCCTGAGAGAGAGAAAGGAAAGAGTTGGTGGTACTAGATGGAGAGGGAGAGAGATACTTGCTCATTTATAGACAGAGAAGTAGAGATCCACAATAGTTAAGTCATGAGTGAACAGTGCTGGGGGGGGCGCATCAGGAATGGAAGGAACTCAGATTCCTAGCTTACAGATGGGCAAACAGGCCTAGAAAGCCCCCTGCAGAAGCCTCTGGTCCCACAGGTTGGGCCTGACATCATACCCTGGGCTCTAGAGTCCAAAGTCTCAGGGACAGCTCAGAGAGGCGCCAGGCTCACCTGCTTCTGCTCCTCTCCTAGGCTGTCCCACATGGAAGCCACGATTTTGGACACGTCCCCGAAGGTGGCACTGGGATTCTGGCCCTTGATGGCAGCCTGAGTATCTCTGAAGAAGAGAGCGTAGGCTGACACGGGCTTCTGAGGCTCATTGGGGTCCTTCTTCTTCTTCTTCTTTGGGTTCTTGGCCTTTTTTCCTGGGTCTGTTGAGGGTCTCTTTTCTCCAGAGATCTATAGGGCAAGAGGAGTCAGAAAACCACAGAAAGTCAAGGGCCTCGTGCCAAAGGTGACCCCAGCCAACCTTGGGCCAGGCTAGGGTTTTCTTAGCAGCTTACTTAAGACTTGTCTAGCCTAGCTCTCTCCCAGGCAGTGACAGGGATGCTTCATGAGGTCCTCATACCCAGGCAGCTTGACCTGTATTGTCAGATTAACCACACATTTGGGCAGGGGAGACAACAGACAAATAGACATGCAGTTATATACATACAGATAGACACAGACAGACAGATGTACATATACATACATTTAGGCAGAAATAGACACATACACACAGAGATACCGAGACACATACAGACACAGACAAACGGAAGAGCAACACACACCTATTTACAGAGACACAGGTTCCCATAGACAGACAGATAGACCCCGAGTCACACATAGACAGACAGACAGATACACATGTTTTGAGCAGTAGCCTGAGGTATAGGTTCATGGAGAACATCACCATTGTGGAGTCAATTGGGAGACTCTTGGCAGTCCCTGGAGACTGCTGAGCTAAACTGGGAACTTGCCAGAGGCTAGCCTAAAAAGCAACAGGTCCATCACACTGGGACTTTCTACCATTCCTGGTGGACAGAAAACATCTGCATTTCTATCACTTTAAAATTTAACTCTGTGAGTTCAAGGCCAGCCTGGTCTATATAGCGAGTGCCAGGCCAGCTGGGGCTACAGGGAGGCCCTGTCTCAAAAAGACCAAAAAAAATTTTTTTAACCCCCCCCAAATTTTTTCTTCTGTTTTTCTATCATCTTTCACCCCAAGTTAACATCTGCCTTTGCAGAGTTCTAAAGTCTCTTAATCAACAATGATTAATGAATCAAAACATAGGCCCAAAACCAGGCATGGAGGCTTTATCTGTAATCTGTATTATAATCCTAGTACCCAGGAGGCTGAGGCAGGAGGAGCAAAAGTTCAAGGCGAGCCTGGGCAACATCTAGAGACCTTGTTTCACTAAATGGAAAACAAAAAGCCCACAGGTTCAGTCTCCTAGACAGGTGTTCTTGTTACCTGTTAGACCATCACTAGGTCTGAAAGATTAGGACAGTGCAGTGTCTGGAGTATGTTTCTGGGTCTATGTGTGGCTTATTTTCAACTGTATTACCCCTAGCAATCATAAATAATCTCCAACTAATACCCCTGGTTATAAAAATTGTGGGTTCCCTGGGACCTTTAAGGTTGGGAAGGGGTGAGGCTAACATGGCTGCTATCCTGTCAGGGGCCCTGCCTGGACAGATTCTAGGACCACGGTCCCAAACACACCTGACTCAGGGTTTCCAGAATGGGGAAGAGCTGGGATGCTTTCCAAAGACCCCAGTAGTTCTCTGTGGGGACACTTAGGCTACACAGGTACTAGGGCCTTTGGTCCAGAGCCTTGGAGTAAGGTCTGAGGCTGTGTGTGCCAACAGGATGAAGGTGGCATGACGGATTGACAAGATGACCTGGGTCAGTGAATAGACTCATATCTCATGCCTGAGGGACAGGAAAGCCTGGTAGGACCGGTGACAACACTGTCTCAGAGTCTCCCCTGGGGCCTCTCCAGGCTTCTATCCTGGAAGATGAGGTAAGATGAGGACTGAAGATTGATCTCTTTGTATATGTGTGTAAAGTTACATGTGTGTGTGTGTGAATATATGGGTGTGCACTTGATTGTGGGGGCCAGAGACCAACTTTGAGTGTTGTTCTTCAGGCATCACTCGCCTTGGTTTTTGAGACAGGGTCTCTCAGTGGCCTGAGGGCTGCTCATTCAGCTAGGCTGGCTGGTCAGCAAGCCCCAGGGATCCTCTCTGGTGCTGGGACTCAGACCTCATGTTTGCACAGCAAGCACTTTACCAGACTGCACTGCAGCCACCTGAGACTAAATCCTGGCTGTGTGGTACTGGATGTTACTTAACTATTCTTTGCCTCAGTATACCCATCTGCCAAATGGAGATAATGACTAGTTCCTGCTATGCAGGACTACATGTGTACTGGGCCTGTGGGTATTTTAGAAGTGTTTAATATGGTTTTTTGGTGTTTTTTTTTTTTTGAGACAGGATCTCATGTGGTCCAAGATGGCCTCAAATTTGCTATGTAGTCTAGGATGACCTTGAACTTCCAATCCTCCTGCCTCCATTTCCTGAGTGCTGAGGTTACAGGCATGAACCACCACATTTAATTTATGTGGTGCTGGGGACTGAACCCAGAACTCAGTGCATGCCAGGCAAGTACCTTAACAACTGAACTATCTCTCCAGACCATAGAAGTGTCTGTTAAATAAAAATTAAAACAGAAACTATCCCCAGGGCTGGGGATGTAGCTTGGCGATAGAGTGCTTGCTTAGCACACACAAGGACTTAGGTTTAATGCCCAGGAATGTGTGGAAAGAAGGAAAAAGGGAAAGAGGAAGGGAGGGAAGGAAGAAGGAAGAAAGGAGGAAGAGAGGCAGTTAAGAAGGAAATCATCCCCACATGGCCTGGATGCAGGCCCAGTTATCCTGAGATAAAGCTGGACCAGGATGAGGGGAGGTACAAGCACCCTGCTCAGGTCAGGGCCTCCTGCCATGGACACTGTGGCTGAGTGTTGGACCACTGCAGGGCCACCATGTGCCCACAGGAGGGTCTCCAGCACATCCAGTAGCCATAGCCTCTGTTCCCAAGGCCCCAGGTGCTATCCCTTTGGCCACAGAACAACCTGCTGACTCAGTTTCCAGCAAAGGGCCAAGCCTCCCTTCTAGTCTTTTCCAGAGGGACATATCCTGGCAGAGCCCCTCCTCCACTGAGGAGGGAACCTTGAAGTGAGGCCCCTCCACTCCACGCACCTTGAAATGAGCATCTGACTCCTCCTCCTGTGTGGAACTAGACGGAGAGGGAGTTGCTGACTTGCTCCCTGGGGGTGATGGGGAGCTGTGGGCGATGCTGCTCCGGATGCCCATCTGGGAGATGAGTTGGGACTGGCTGAGGGCAGTCATGTGGCTGGCTAACATCGCTGGGCGGCCCAGCAGGGGCCCTGGCCGGCCTGAGTCGTAGGCAGCCACCTCTGAGTGGACCATCTCCTGGATCTGAGAGAGAACAGGGCACTGGGTTAGAAGGCTCTGTCTTGCTGCACCTCCTCTTAGGCTCAGGGAGGGCATGTGGGTGACAGGTGGCAAGTGGCCAGTTCCATGCTGGGCTGTGCCTTGCTCATATGAGTATCCCCACAGGAGACTGTCAAACTGGAGTTCCAGTCTCCCTGACCTCTGTGTGATCTGGAGCTCCCATGAGACCTTTAGCCTCCTTGGCAGTTTACCACTCTCTTGGTACCCACCCTGGGCAGATGACTAGCACTGCAGCTCTTACTAAAGCTCAGTCCAGCTGTGAATGGATCATCTTACAATACTGAGCTTCCCTCCTAAACACATCTTTGCCTTGATTCCCTGTGCAATAAACAGTGCCAAATGGTGTAGATGTCAGATGCTGACTTTTGAATCCTGGTTATTCCCCCTTGCCAGGTGGGTGACACTGGCCCAAATGACTTGACCTCTCTGTGCCTCAGTTATAAGATCATTAAGGACTAAATGTACCCAGCACAAAGTAAGATCTGTATGGTATAAGTCTGTTAAATGCATCAAATAAATAAATCTCTTGATACTATTTAGCATTGTTCTTTTTCTTTTCTTTTTTTCTTCTTCCATCCCTCCTTCCCCTCTCTCCCTTCCTCCCTCTCTCTCTTTCTTACTTTTTGAGACAGGTTCTCCCTGTAGCCTCAGATGGCCTAAAACTCTCCATGTAAACCAGGCTGGCTCAATCTTAGAAAGATCCACCTGCCTCTGCCTCCCAAGTGCTGTGATTAAAGATGTGTGACACCATGCTCAGCTGAGTCAGTAATTTTTGGAATACAAGAAAACTACTCATTTTACACATAAGCATCCTCAATGTAAGCACATATTTAGAATAGTGTGTACTCTTAAAATTATTTATTGGGGGTTGGAGAGATGGCTCAGCAGTTAAGAACACTGGCTGTTCTTGCAGAAGACCCAGGTTCGAATCCCAGCACCCACATGACAACTAACAATTGTCTCTAACTCCAGTCCCAGGAGATCCGACAACCTCGTGGGCATTGCACGACACGGGCAATACATGCATACACATAAAAATAACAAATAAAATTAAATTAAAAAGAAAAGTAAATTACTGCCCTGGAATATTAAAAAATTATTTATCTTTATTTTATGTGTATGAGTGTTTTGCCTGTACATATGTAAGTGCACCACATGCATGCAATGCCCGCAGAGGCCAGAACAGGGTGTCAGGTCCCCTGGAACTGGAGTTACAGAAGGTTGTTAGCCGCCATGTGAGTGCTGGGAACTAAACCTGGGTCCTCTGCAAGAGCAGCCAGCGCTCTTAAACACTGAGCCATCTCTCCAGTCTCAAGAGTAGTGAGTACTCTTGACCCAAACATAAACACAGAAGTGCTCTTCAGCAAGGCTTACCAACTGGAATATTATTAGAATTCTTTTGTATTTCCTCTACATTTGTTACTTATCCTATCTAATTTCTAATGTTAAATGCCTGCAGGTGCCTCTCACTTTTTCTTTCCTTTTTTGATTTATTTATTTTTATTTTATGAGTGTCATGCCTGCATGTATGTAAATGCTCCCATGTTGTACAACGCCTGCAAAGAACAGAAGAGGATGTTTATTTTCCTGGAACTGGCATTATGAACTGTTGTTAGCTTCCATGTTGGTGCTGGGATTTGAACCTGGGTCTTCTGCAAGAGCAGTCTGCAAGAGAGCTGGCTCATTAGCTGTTACCTAATGAGCCATCTCTCCAGCCCTGTCACGTTTTTTCCTTTAAGCAAGCTAATGGGCTTTCAATTTTATGTGGGTTCTTTATCTTTTCCTTAAAAGAATCAGATCTCACCAGCATATGCCTGTAATCCCAGGACAGCCTGAAACCCCAGGACAGCCTGGACTATTAGTGAGAGTCTGTCTCAAACAAAAAACTCAGATCTCAAATTTATCTCTTCTGCTTCTCTGTTTTTTAATTCTTTTTTTTTTGAAAAAAGATTTGAATTTATTTTTATTTATGTATATGAGTGTTTTGCCGCTATGTATGTATGTGCACCATGTGTGTGCCATGTGTGTGCCTGGTGCCTGAGGAGTCTAGAAGAGAGTGTCAGGTCCCCTGGAACTGGAGTTATGGGTGGTTTTGAGCCACCTTGAGGATCCTGGGAACTGAACCCAGGTCCCCTGCAAGAATAGCAAGTGCTCTTAACCTCTGAGCCATCTCTCCAGCCCATTTTCTGATTCTTTAATATTTCATTTTATCTTTGTTACTCTCTCCTGCTTTATAAAGATTATTCTTGCTTTGCCCTCAAAATTTTAAATTTTATTTATTCCCCTACCCCTTTTTATTGGTTCTAAGACGGTTTGGGCTAGGGAAATGGCTCAGTGAGTAAAGAGCTTGCTGTGTAAGTATAATGACCTTGGTTCAGATCCCCAGTACCCATGTAAAAAGCATGTATATGTGCATCTGTAACCCCAGTGGCAAGGGGTGGAAGGTTGGGGGTATAGGAAGGTTTGGAGGTGTTTGGAGGAGGTGGAGACAAGTCGATCCTAGGATCTTGCTGGTTAGCCAGCCTAGCTGAAATTGCAAGGTTTCAGAGCTCAGTGAGAGATCTTGACTCAAAACTGAGGGCAAGCCTGGAGAGATAGCTTAGTGGTTAAAGTGCTTGCCAGGCAAATAGGAGGACCTAAGTTTGGACCTCCAGAAACTCATATAAATGCCAGGTGGAATTCCAGCCTCAGAAGGTGGAGACTGGATCCCCAGAGTAAGCTGGCTAGCAGGATTAGCCATATTGGTGTGCTCTGGGCTCCACTGAGAGACCCTGCCTCAGTGAATAAGATGCAAGAGCGATGGAGGACGAGTCCCACTGTCAGGCTCCAGCTTCCACATGAACACTCACACATATCCATATGTACTCACAAACATGTGCCCCACACATGCAAACATGGGTACACATGCATGCACACACATGAAAATAGGAAAGAGAGCAATAGAGAAAGGACACCCAATATGGACCTCTGGCCTCCACATACCCATTGCATGCAAGAGTGTACACACACACACACACACACACACACACACACACACACTATCCCTTCTATACACATAATTTAAAACTAAGCCATTAAAAACTTTTTGATGCTACAAAATTTCCTCTTGAGTATTTCTCATAGGTTTCAATGTGTAAGATTTTTGTTACTATATAGATATTTAATTTTTAAATTTTTCTTTGCCCCAGGAGTTTTAAAGAAGAGTTCAACAATTTCTAAGTGGTTAATTTTGTTTCTTTTCACATTGTCTCTAGTAATAGAAATCATCCAAGAATGTGCAATGTACCCTCTGTATCTCTGAGAATTTGTTAGGGTTTTCTTTGGGACCCAAATATAATCAGATCTTTACATATTCTAAAGAACTTATGGACAAATGGCATGCTGTGGTCAGGTGTATTATGTGATTAGCAGTGGTTGAACTCTTTAGACCCCATCCTTAACTTTGGCTCTCTAATCTCACATGGGACTGTCTTGCTCAGGACTTTAAAATTTTTTTCAACTTGTGACCCCTTTACCATTCAATAAACTTTTACATGACCCTGGATATACATACAGCTAAATAAAAATAGCTATACAAATCAAACATTTACCAATAATAAAGTGTAAGGGAATTTATTTGAAAAAGTCTTTGGTATACTTGTAACATTACCATTTATTAAAGATGAAAGCAATTTTGCAAACTAATGAGATAGATTGCTCATTTCCTTTTACATAAAAATTAAATCTTGGCTGAATATATGATACTGCAGAATTTAGATCATCTTCAATATTTTTCAGAGTTGATCAATATTTTGATTTTATAATTGTCAATGCTGAGAACTCTACATAAATATGTAGCATAAAATGGCAGAAGTACATTTAGGGTCATTTCAGACGTGGTTGGAAATCCTGTTCTAACACTAAGTCAAAATTCACTGAACATTTTTTTATGAAGCTCAATTCGGGTATTCAAATAACAATTTTCAAAAATCATACATTTTAACAAAATACAATCCCAAGATGTACTAATTTAATGCCTAGATGAGGAAGATGGTAGGAAAATATTGTCTTAGTTTTCCACAATTAAACCATTTTTACATTCATTTGTGTGTGTGTGTGTGTGTGTGTGTGTGTGTGTATGTGTGCGTGTGCGTGTGCGTGTGGAAGTCAGAGGACAACTTGTGGGAGTCAGTTCTCTCGGTATCCGTTGCCAGGCTTGAAGGCAAGTCCCTTTTCCCTGCTGATTCATCTTGCAGACTCCCATTATGCTTTATAGGAGAAGAAAATTGTATGTGTACAGCAGAAACACTGCAGTTCATAATATGTGATGGTTTTGAATCTGGAGCAAGGTGTTTCAGGAGGTGTTTGTTGGTACTGATGGTGTGACAGCACACACACTCCTGTGTGTTCAGAACCCAAGGCCACATGGATAAACTAGGCCAGAAAGTCCTTGGATTCATCACACATTTGATTCTGAATTACATTTTGGCCGTTGCACATTCAGACACCTTTTATTCTTGCCAACGTTCTCCCCATATTCAGTCATTCTTGCAGAGCAAATGGTCTGACCCACTGAGCCATCTTCCCATCCCCAGATTAAAAAAATATTTTATTATTTTTATTTTATGTCTATGAGTGTTATGCCTGCATGTAGGTAAGTGCACCCTTGTTGTGCAGTGCCCGCAGAGAAGAGGCTGTCAGATCCCCTGGAACTGGAGTTATGGACAGTTGTTAGTTGCCCTGTGGGTGCTGGGATTCGAATCCAGGTCTTCTGCAAGAACAGCCAGTGTGCTTAACCACTGAATTATCTCTCCAGCTCCCCCAGCCCCAGATTTTAACTCATACTGGTGATACTATATTTTTTAACATTTTGGTTGTTAGCCTTAGCCTTTAACGGCTGCGCTATCCCTACAGCCCAATACTATAGTTTTTTAATCCACTGTTTACTTTTTAGTTAAACCCTTATTCAACATTGTAATATTGTG